GCAAACACTACAACATCGTTCAGTTTTTTATGGTTAACTTGCATCAGAAAAAGCAATTAGTATGCTACTTTTTCAAAACCTTTACGTATACTCAACTTATCTGATGTACTAAAAAAGAACAATTGTTGAATATCATGGGATAATAACATTAGCTTGCTGATACTGCCACTTGCAGAAAAGTCTGTGTAGAACTTTAAACTTACTTTTACTGATAGTCAGGGGATAAATCCTCGTCTATGTTTTCTACCTTAATGGCATTATAAAAACATGAACCTGTTTGGCTTTTCCATTCTGTTCATGCAATGAACACTGAATCTTCTACTGTGTAATTACACAGAGGAATTAAGCCGCGACAGACTGTTGTAGATCTGATGATGACTGGTAACAAACCGAAAAATGTTATTACAATGTTACTTGTAACTTCGCGTTTATACACAAAGCCGAATCGCCTAACCTCTGTCGGCTGATGGGCTTCTATGTAGATTTTTCGATGTTACCGGATATTCATGATGTTATGTTGATCTCAGTGACTAGCAGAGGAATGAAGACGCGCTTTTTGTCCCATTTGGGACTCGTCAAATGGATGTATCTGCACTCTAGTGGATATTGTTTCCACCAAGGCTGGGATCCAGTACCCTTCACTTCAAACTCCAGAGAGTTATCCACGAATCCACTGGGGTACAATAGCCACTTGTTGTGACATTTGAAGCAAAGGGTACTTGACTCGAGCCTCAGTGGGAACAATATCACTAACTGAAGTGAAGGCAAGTCTAGTTAACGATTCTCAAATAGGAGGTAAAGCGTGTCCTGGATTCCTCTACTAGTCATGAAGATCAATATAACGAAAAACGCTAGTTTGAATTTAACTGCAACTGGAAAATTTATGCATATTGACACTTAAACAAGTATCTGGTGCTTTCTATATAGCTTGTAGTTTCCCATCCTTGATTAATTTGAGACAAATAGATCAATCTCTGTTTACATTTGGGTTCCTGTTCAAATGCGTAAAATGCCACATATAATTTCAGTCCTAATGCTAATAACAGATAAAAGCTACTGTTAATCACCACCCACTATTAGTAAAGTATCTTTTTGCCAATATTTCAAGTTGAGGTTTACAGAGAAAGCAGACCATTCCTTCCCTCTTTCATATTTCCTTCCTACTACTATGTAGCATGAAAAAATTCTATACTTTGAGATGAATAAAATCTGACGGCATTTTCATACAAAATAAATGGCGTTAGATGAAAAATTTTACATTTATTTTTTTGTAGAGTTTTTGTTGATAAGCCGCATGTCATTAGATTTTTCGCCTTCCTATATAGCCATTACTTACCCATCACTGAGTTAAGTAGAGAGAAACTATATGTAATCATCATGTTGGTAAGACACAGTCAATGGTTGTCAGTAGAAGATAAGTGAATCGATGAATGCGTGGACAATATCAACCAACAATTCGTTGAACAAAGATTGAATACATTAGGAAAATACAAAGAAGGCAGTGATAATCCAATTCTGACTCGGTATACAATGTAGGGCTATAAATCCATATTTTTTTTGAGGAAAAATATCTTTATCTGAATTACGCTTTAATCTATGAAGTAATGTATGCATCATTTTGTTACCAAAAACATATCGTTCCCTTTATCATTGTTCACTATACTAACTTTAGTATAGCTAGTTTGTGCTAGCTAGACAATAATGAATCTACAGTCAAAGCATAAGTAAAATACTTTGGATAAGAAATAATTGCTAGAGAGTTTGGATAATTGTATTTTGAAATTTGACTAAAACAAGTTAGTACTTTACAATTTTTGATGATGACATTGTGATAAATAGTAGCTAACATTGGAACCTAAGTAGTATATTTCGTCCTATCTAACACTCTCTAGCTGCATATGCCTGCCTTTCAGTGAGTGATGTCGTTTCTGCTTCAAACCTCAGAACTTTGTCAAATAGGCTACTGAGTCCTAATAGACATTCTTTATGCAACCGGTATAGTATAGTTTTTACTATAGTATGGGATAAACAGCATAGTTGTAATATCGGAACTGAAAATTATGGCGATATCAAAGCACCTAGGCAGGAGCTCATATGCCAATACTGCCTGATCAACTTGGTCCAGGCAACGAAGGAGACTCACTTAAACTCTTAAAAATGCTCTACTTGACATCAAAACCACTATATTATAAGCTAATTGACTATATCTTTTAAGTGATTAGTTTTCCAACAACGTGTATGGCATAATCACAATCCAACTCAAGTGAATCATTCATAATGATCACATAAGTGAGACACGATAAAGGATACTTTAAAGCAGAAGTTTTACGTCTGTGATCACTGTCATCCTCAAAAAAATCCCGATTCAGTCATTATAAAGAGTTTTTATTACATAATCCAAGCATGTTAAAGACTTGAAGAAACATTTTACCACTTACATGAAAGTGTTTTATCAAACGTCAAAAACTAATATATTTATTCAGAAAGATGTGTTCATCCATTCTGTAAATTGTCATCATATTCAGAAAAGTAGACACAGAAAGATGCTAAATTTACTTAGCTATTAAGATATTTGTAAAATTGTAAGTGAAATAGTATAATTCAAACTTGTTCAAAACGCGTTTATTCATGAGGTACTTTCCTCAATCAGCGATAAAAGGTTGAAATGTTACTTTTTGTCATTTGACTCTATATTTTCGTTCCGATGACGACAATAAAGGTTTATATGAATCAACATGTTTGTAAGTAGAGATACTGAGACATATTCAGCAGCATATTTCAGCCTTTTTACTTGCTAGAAGAATAATTCAAACATTCTGCTGATTAAGTTATACTAATCTTGATTATTAGAGTATTATATTATTATTTGTCCATTGCGTTCCTAGTGGGACATACAACATCACTAGCACATCTCCATTCCACTCTACACTTCTCTACAATCTTCTCAACCTCGCTCCACCACTATCCACAACCTCTCATTTATTCATCACACAATCTCCTCCATGTCAACCTCACCTCGAATGACTAACTCATCGTTTCACATCTGGGTTCCACACAACGGTCTGGACTGACGCGTCATGTCTCCGAATGGTTTTCACAGTGTATGCTCAATCCATCTCCACTTCCTTCTACAGATTTACTGAGCGATAGGTTCTCGCCTCATTGGTTCGTCACCAGTCAACCAGAGTTCCTTGTTGCTTATTCTTTCTGGCAATCCATCTGATCTTCAATATCGAGTCGGCGTAGACAGTTGTTGATGAATGATTATTAGAGTAGATAACTGTAAACCCTTTTTGTTTAAACAGAGTGATTGCTAGTCAAGAAAAACCTTACATTAGATATTTTTTGAACTAATCTGCACTCTTCAATCATTATTTTGATGGTTAAATCTCTTGAACAGGTTTTTAAAAACTGACAATACACTATACAGACAAGTCAATTCATCGAATAAACAGGTGACAGTTGGGTTATTTTATTCAATCCATTTTATGCTTACGAATGACGGCAAGATGAGCTGTAGTAATAGTAGTAGTAGTAGTAGTAGTAGTAGTAGTAGTAGTAGTAGTAGTAGTAGTAGTAGTAGTAGTAGTTAGCTCTCTATGCAATGGTCTATCCAATAACTTTCTGCTCATTTACTTAATTGTTATTTTCTGAACTTTACTCAGATGTTCATAGACGGGTCAACATATTGGTGAATTAGGTATCATTATTTTACAATTTATTCAGTGGCACTGTACACTCAATTTAGGCTGCAGCTGCTTATGAAGTATACAATGGAATAATTATTTTGACTGAAAATGAAATGAAAACTGTGGGTAAAAGAATTAGCAAGATAAGGTGTCAACAAATAACCGATGAAAACTTCACTATGAGATGAGTTCAGCAGTTTGAAACTAGGAAACAAGTTGTATTTCCTAGGATAATATCAACAGGAACGCATATTATCTCATATGAAAACAAACGATTATCTTTGAGTCCTGTTACACAGCGTTGCTGAAGTGTATTACCCTCTTTCTGTATGACTAAAGTCTTAAAATATTAGTTTAGATGTGCATCCACATTCAAAACAATAACTTACAGTGAAAAGTCAGTGAAAAAAGAATTTTCACAATGAAAAATCTAACGGAAAATGAAATGTGACTGTTTGAAGCACGGTTCTGTAAACTGTTAACACATTTCACGAAATAGTAATTATATCAAAAATGTCTTAATGACTTATGAGCCAATATCATATGAACAATCATCGAAAATGTGGAAATACAAAGACGTCTTAAAGGGGAAGCGTTTATCAGTGGCATTTTATGGTGGTTGCATTGTAGCTTCGATTGACAGAATTAGCAAAATACTAACCATTAAACTGAATCGCACAGGTTGGATAGACATAATGATCATGAAGTTAACATCTCATGAGATCCTCTGTATGCGCTACTCAAGAATTCCAAAGTAGTTTTTTTCGGTGGAACAATCACATTGTTAGCTACATACCAATAAAAGCATCCTAAGTACTTGAACTACAACTGTCACGTACCACACTTATGAAAGTTACCCCGTTACGTATTTAAAGATTGACTGGTAGATAGGGTTATTTACTGTACTTTGTCGATCATCCACTTTCTGACATCCTTCAGTATTGATAGAATAACACTGCAAACTGAAGATAATGTGTGGATAATATCTTTCGTTAACAAAACCTGGAATCTCTGCACTATATTTACCAACGGATCACAATACTCTTTTTCAATGGGTATATCATGTTAAATAAAGTGAATATTCTAGTCAGAATGAGGCAGATTGTCAGTCATCTCGAAGAAAGGGTGATGAAAATCAAATAAAGATTACACAAAACGTCTAATTTTATGCCTACTAAATCAATTGATTGATGAAAGCACATTCATATGGTTCTTTTCAAGTGTGGTATTATTCAAATGCAAGATATTTCGCTATGAATTTTAGCAGTAGAAATATTCATTTCTATCTTGTGGTTTTCATCTATTTTACAGGTGTTCCTCTATGTGATATATGGACAGTTATGGATGTTCTGTGTTGTACAGCTTCAATTTTACACCTAGTAGCTATTGCAATGGATCGTTATTGGGCTATAACAAGAGTAGATTATGTAAGAGGTCAAAATAAGAGACCAATATATATTATGATTATAATTGTCTGGATATTATCCTTAGCTATATCATTACCAACACGATTTCATACATCAAGAAATCCTAGTCTTTATAATGATGTCTTATACACTGGTGAATGTAGTATCAATAAAGAATATGTATTCACAATATTCTCTACAGTTGTTGCTTTCTATATGCCAATGGCATTTTTAATTGCTATTTATGCAAAAATTTATCGTGCAGCCAGAGAACGAATTAGAAAGAAACGATTTCAATCAACTTCAACAACAATAACACCATCAAATAAAACACCATTGACTATATTATCAAAAAGGTCAAAATTTTTTCATAAAAAAATTAATAAAAGTTTTAATAATAATTTTACTAAACAATATAAAATAAATGATTATAAAATTTCTAAAAATAGATGTATAACATGTTCTACATGTGTAAAAATTCATTTATTCAATTGTCCAATGAAAATTGATATTGAAAATAGTCGATCACCAAGTAGTAATGAAGTTGGATCAATATTCTCAGAAAATGATACTTCATCACCATATTTCAGTGAATATACTACAGAATATTCAGATAAATATTATATAACTACTCAATATAATCCTATATCTCAACAAAATAATATGAAAATTTGTAATAAAAATCAAAATATTACTAAAATAAATGATATAAGTAAAAATAATCATTCTGTTAAATGTTTCAATATATCAATGAATAATGACTTCATTATGCATAAAATGAACAACAGAATTATTTTCAACAAAATAATCTATGTAATTATACAAAATTATCATCAATTAACTATGATTTAGAACAAATGAATAAATCGACTATGATACAGAAGAATAAAACTTGTTACTCAAAGATATTAACTGACTCAGAAACTCAATTGACTCATAAAATGTCAACATCTTCATTGTATAATAATAATAATAATAATGTGAATAAAATCACTACTACAGAATTTCAGATAGAAACAGAAAATATTACTTGTTCAACTGTTAGTATAGAACAAATAGACGAAGAGAATCAAACAGATGTTGAATTGAATATAAATTTAACAAATTATCATATACTAAATAAAAGTCGAATAGAATTAAATGAATCCTTTGAAAATGAAAGTATTCTATTAAATGAATCAGAAATCCTTTCAAATAACTTAAAGATATTCAATAAAGAATCATATGTTCAAAGTCCAATTTTATTAGACTCACAAGATATATTAAATCATTTGACATATTTACAAAATCCAATGAATTATATCGTTAAAAATTCATTTCATCCAACAAATTGTGACAATGATGATCTTATTGATGATAATTTTACTAATGATGATGATGATGATGATGATGATGGGGATGGGGATGGCGATAGCGATAAGAATAGTGATGGTAACAGGATTCATGTTGCCAATATAGAAAATTTTACCATTAAAACAACTGATTATCCTAAATCACCTTATTTATCTTCATTTGAAAGTTTGATAAGTTTTAAGTGTAATTCTGTTTTTGAACAATCTTTAATTCATATAAAATCTCCATTATATGAAGATATCTCCCAAAAAATATATCAGAATGAATTTATAAATTATATTCAAACAAATAATAACAATAACAAAATTGAATATTTGACAGAATTATCAAAAAAGATAAATAATTTTGAAATGAATAGTTTATATCATTTTCATGATTCTATTCAAACAAATAATATTGAAGAAAATATAATTCAAAATTTTAACTATAATAAAGATTTATTCACAATTGAACAGAATATAATGGAAGAGATTAAAAGTGTTCAAGGTGATTCATATCCAGTTAGTTGTACAAATAAAGTTCATACAATACAAAATATGATTAATATAAATACTATCAATAGTAATAATAATATAATAATAATAATAATATAATAATAATGATCAGTCGAATAAAACCTACAATTTATCACCTGGAAAAAAAGTGAACTTACCAACTTATAATAATTATTCAACTAAATCAATTATATCAAAAAATATCATAGAAGTTGAATTACAACGTGAACGTTTAGAAAATAGTCGTGAACGTAAAGCTGCTAGAACATTAGCTATTATTACAGGTTGTTTTATTCTATGTTGGTTACCATTTTTTTGCATGCATTAATTGCACCATTTTGTTTCCCTAAATGTAATATACATCGTTTAGCTGAAAGTTTTCTTCTTTGGTTAGGTTATTTAAATTCTTTATTAAATCCTATTTTGTATACAGTATTTGCACCAGACTTTAGAAATGCCTTTAGAAAGATTATTTGTGGTAAATTTTATACTAACAAAAAAGTATGATCAAATTATATGCAAAAGAAAAAATTCTTTATTTTTTGCAGTTGATGTTTTTTTTCCCCTTATTATCTTTTATTTCTTACTTACAACTTTCTTATCTGATAAGTGGAAAAGGTTCTTAATACACGCCAGTCAGTACCCAACGGTGATTTAGTATTATTATTTTATTTACTAAACATAAAATAATATTATCACCTTTATTTCACTTTTTAGAGGGATCAATTCCGAGTACTTAAGGCATTTGTCTAGAAAATACAAACATAAGGGAAAACAGCTCGTCATTGATTGAACTGAAGTAATTGTTTTCCTTTGACATATAGGATTCTATGCAGATGCCTTAATATTGCCTTTGTTTCAGTTACATATTAGTGTTGGATAATAGTTAACATAGGAAATATAGAGGCATCCTTGTGGGAGCCCATATATCAGTGGAGACCAATCAATTCGCTACAATAAATGACAGCATGATGCAAGTGACAACATTAAAATTATACACGTCGCACAAGAAGATGCTGCCGTGACTCAGTGATCTAGTCAGTAACAGTATAGCGTTTGAAGCATCTGGTCTCAGATTTAAGTCCTAGTGGGAAAAACATCACTCACTAGGAAGCAGGTACGTCCTGCTGACGGATTAGAAATAGGACAAAACACGCATGCTGGGTTTCTCTCTTATGAAAGAAAGAATATCTGCACAGAACTAATGACACAGTATTGACAGAGACTGACTAGAATGTCTCTTGTAACTGGAAAGTAGCTTAGCTAGAAAAGTGCAAAGAAGTTCTATAACACATTCAAGAATAAACCAGTAAGAAACATGTTTTTTAAAAATATCTTTCGAATTCTGCATGTTTTTCAGGGTGTCATAGCAAAGAAGCATATTAGAATATGAAATGAACAAAATCTCATGCGTGTTATATGGTGATTATGATGTTGTTCTAAAGAAATCCTTTTTGAAACAGAATACCATTCAATCCGTAATTAGAATATGCTTCAATAGACTAGGCTAGCTATAAATCATGTTGTTCATTTCTGCAGTTTATAGACAACCTGAATGATTATCATGCACTATGATAAACAAGAAATATAGTGAAAACAGGAAATTGACTTGCAGCTGTTTCAGCTGACTTCGAAACTCCTTATCATTACTTCATTCCTTCCACATACAACATCAGTACAATGACTGTCACTTCATATGCCCAGCAGGTTACAATACAGTTTCTGAGTAGGAGTCCATTTTCACCTTATTGACTATAATAAGCGACTGCTATTCGACACTTGTTAAAATGTTGTTTATCTCTTGAGTTCCTAGTGAAATATAAAATTCAGAAGCACGTAACTATTTCACTCTCCTCTCAGTAGTCCATTCAACCTGGCTTAACCACTCCCATAAACCTCTCATCTTCTCCTCATACCATCTACTGCATGTCACCATCACCGCAGACGCCCAGCTAATCGTCTTCCGTTTCAGTTTAATACGAAGGCCTGGCCTGATACGTGAAATACTCAAAAAGTCTCCCATCTCAGTCTATGTCCAATCTAATACAATCCATCCCTAATTTTGCCTACATATTTTCTGGGCAATCGGTTCTTAATCGGTCGGTTCGTTGCACGCCAGAGTTCCTCCTTGCTTATTCACATTATTCTGGTCATCCATCTCATCTCAATCGTCAGCATCGAGTGGGCGTAGGCGGCAACTGCTCATGATGTATGTCTGCAGTTTGTTGCAAATGCTCTTCTTAACGTGCCAACTATCTCAACCATCACAGATAAACACTGACTTACTCGACTCACATCAGTGTTGAAAATCCGAATCCTGTTCACGATCTCTGTCAAGTGCAGTGCAGTGGAGTGGAGTGGAGTGCACTGTAGTACAGTGCTGTGCAGTGCAGTGTAGTACATCTACACAATGATTTCAGATAAATGAAGGAAGGCCTGTCTTGCTATTGTTTCCATCCTCACCTTCACATCTCATCTGTGCCTGTATGGCCGCCCGTAACTGAAACGATGCTGCCTGTCTCGATATGTGGGTAGGCAGGTGGAAGAGATAACTTCGTTTACATTTCTCTCATTCATGATGATTGGTGCCTGTTATTGTCGTTGTTTTTGCTACTGCTGCTGCTGTTGCTGCTTCTGCTTCCGTTATTGTTCGGGTATCTTCATCACCTCTGTCTTATCTACATTCACCTGAACGAAGTCCCGTTTTCCTTCGCTGCCCCACCTCACCTCTTCTACCATCTTGTTAGTTTCCCTCTGTAGATCGTCGAGTTTGTGTGACAACACACTAGACATAACTCATCATCATCGAAATTCAGATCTTCTTCTAGGCTCTTTGTCTTTTCATCTGTCCAGTCAGCGTATGCCCCTCTTCTTTCTCCTCACAGTTATTTACATTATCCAGTTCAGTCCAGTTGAGTCGACGATAATCATGAAGATCAATGGTGATAGGAGGTGGTAACCTTTGTTTACTGTTGTCTTCACTTCGCTACAAATGCATCACCATTCGACTTTATCGTTGGGTATTTCTTGTCACTGCAGAATTCTTGGGGCCGATACTGTCAAAGAGTTTAGGCGTAAAACGGTGTCCACAATCGTAAGGAAACTGATGTTTCATGTCGCATTTCTATAATGCAATGATCATGGCGTGAATATTCTGATGATTAAGTTTCTCACTTAAGCGATGAGTTTCATAGGCTAGAATCATCAAAGGAACATCAGTTTCCCTGCGGTTGTGAACACTGCTTGCTAATTAGTCCCAAAAAGCATAAAATCTGGGTCAAGTATTGCTTCTTATCAATTAATTGCTAACATCAGACACCCAAAACATTATGCAGCTTTTCAGACAGTGAAAAAACCCAGTGATTCGACCAAAAGTAAACGGAAATTATCTAGCTAGAAAATGGAATGGTCAACTTAGACAAAACTTTACACGATCCGTGAGAAATTAAAGGTACAGAAAGCAACTCTTTCAACTAACAGAATTTTTGAAACTGATAGTTAAACTTCGACTTGATTATAAAGTATTGTGGCCAGCAGTGGAACCCAGAAAGTGTGTTTCTTCCTGTTTGAGACTTGTCAGCTGGATGTACCTCCCCCCCAATGGGCGATGTTGTTTCCACTAAGGCTACAACTCATGACTGGTTACTTTAAATCCCAGACAGTTATCCAATAGGCCACCAGTTCACGATAGCTACGTCTTGTACGTCTTGTAAACTTACCCGTATTATTCTGTCCCTGTTTGTGCTTCATCGATCGATTCGCATATTGTCAAACTTCTGATTGGTAGATTGCTTACATAGAACTTCATCAAGCCATTTGAGAACATTTATGGCAAGTCTGACCATAACTTCATCTGTTGAATGACTGAAGAACGACTACTCGTTCGCCTGCCATAAGGAAAGCTAATCACTCATATCTTGTTTCTAAAAGTAGAATAGATGACAGACCAGTAAAAGGGCTACAAGTGAATCACTAGATTTATATACCAACTCCATTAATCATTTCTTCCATCAACATTCATAAATTATATACAGGTATATTTAGCCTTCGACTTTATGCTTCCTCAGAAGCATTTCAGATTTAAAAAACGTTATGCTTAATGGTCGTGTCGAAAATGATGATTTCTTTAACTGAGAAGAGCAAAACATGAACACCGTATTAAACTATGATCCCATAAATGTAAGTTTCTATTCAAACGAATAAGAATGAATGTAAAAGTGAGGAAAAAGGTTATCTATGTTGGATTGCAAAATGAAGAGAAGAGAAGATGATCATTTGAGTATCTGTTATTAAACAAAACATACAGTTGACTGGACATTTGCAATCGTCATAGTCTCATACTTCGGAAGCTCAGTGATAACTTTGAACGGAAGTGAAGACAGCAGATAGGAATCACACAAGGCTGTCCACTATCACCGATGACATTCCTGAATGTGGTCGACTGCATCATGCAAAAAACAGTGAAGAGAGAGAACAGGGAGATACGATAGCTGGACCGGTGAAAACAGCATCAAAGATTTAGACTTCACCAATGATTTGTGTCGAATGTCACACAAACTCGAAGATCTACAGGCAAATCCAACAAGTTGACAGAAGAGGTAGGGCGTCGCAGCGACAACGCGACTTCAAGTGAACGTAGAGAAGACAGAGGTGATGATCATATCCAACCAACACCAACACCACCACCACCACCACCAACAACAACAACAACAACAACAACAACGACAGGCTTCAATCACCACCAACAGGAGAAACTTAAAGGAAGTTGTCTCTTTCACCTATCTAGGCAAGGCAGCATCGTTCAAACTACAGATGGTGGCGCCGGCACAAACGAGGACGTCAAAGACAGGATCCTCCATTATTCTGAAATGATCAGTGTGGGAATCTACTGCACTCAGCATAAGGCGTCAACAACAACAACATCCAGATTTTCAACATCAATGTCAAGTCAGTGCTGCTATATGGTTCAGAAACTTGGCACGTCACGAAAAGCATTTCTAACAAACTACAGATATTCATCAACAGCTGCTGCCCACGCTGGCTCCATACTGAAGATCAGATGGATTGCCAGAAAGAATAAGCAACAAGGAACTCTGGTTGACTGGTGACGAACCAACGAGGCGAGAACCTATCGCTCAACAAATATGTAGAAGGAAGTGGAGATGGATTGAGCATACACTGTGAAAACCATTCGGAGACATGACGCGTCAGTCCAGACCGTTGAGTGGAACCCAGATGTGAAACGATGAGTTGGTCATTCGAGGTGAGGTTGACATGGAGGAGATTGTGTGATGAATAAATGAGAGGTTGTGGATAGTGGTGGAGCGA